GAGATGTGTGAGTTGTATCTTGCTAATCGGTTGCACATTGATAATATGTAAACGCACTAGTAACTTGGTGTTATAAAACATATTGTTGTGTGTGATTTGGTTAGTGAGTGCAAGCAAGCATTGTATCAAAGTTTATCCGTTCCTTTTATCCAAAGTAGGATAAAAGCGATATCTTTGGGCCCCTCGATGGTTTAGTGATGACAAACGTAAATGCTCGGCCGGGCTAGGGCTAATTTGATTTGTTCAATTAGTCTGTCGTCATAAATGGAAATCGAGAAGTAGTACAAAGAGAATGATTTGAAATCATATCTCATACGATATCTAGAATGGAGGAATATATGATCCCTTATCTAAGGACACGCGTATCTGATAGGATCAGAGTTGACAGCGGCTTTGGAAAGCTACGATTGCAGATCAGGATCTGAAGTCATACGCAAATAGTTATTAGACTTATCCAAGTGGGAGACTGTTGGATTAGTGTCTAAGTCCATAACTATTTTGGTATGTACTTGACCCGATGGTGCATGGTCCTTTTGGGTTGCCTTCACCAAAGCAACTTGATTGGAGAAATAAATAAAGAGAGAGAGGTTATTATGATTTATTAATATGTTATAAGAATAATATATTAAAGGAAAATCATATTTGCTTAATTAATATTGGTCAATAATTAATTAGGAATTAATTTTGTGATCAAGTGTAATTAATTAAACTAGAGGGGCTGAATTGTAATTATGTGATAGTTACAAAATATGGTAATGGTTATCCTAAATATGGTTGAACGAATTCAAGGAGATAAGGATCCTTGAAATCGTCCAAAGGATAAAGGATAAGGGTTTTCAAGGCTTATCTTATGGTTGCTTTGTGGATAAGCAACTAGATAAGGATAATGACTGAAACCCTATCTCTACACCTATATAAAGACCCTAAGGCCTTAGAATTCGTGTACTTGTTCCCAAGGAGTCCTAAGGACGAATTCTAACCTCTCTCCTCTCTCTTTATACCTTCTCCATTTGCTCTTGGTGTTTGTAAGCCATTAGAGGGGTGACACTTGTGACTCTAAGCATTCCAAAGTCAATTCAAGGTGAATTAGGATTGTTATTGCTATATAACATCAAGGTATGTTATTAAACCTATTATATGTTAATATCGATTTCCATATACTAGAATTAGGGTTTAATCTTGGATTCAAAGCATGTACAATAGAGAAACCTAGATCCAAGCATTAGGGTTTGTATGAGCACATAGATGTCTTATGACCAAAACCCATCAAACCTATCATCAACAGACATACGACTAGAGTGAGCGGACCATACAGACTCTCCAGGATACACTAAGAGCCTGTGTCATTGACTTCAGTGGGAGTTAGGAGTCCTACCTACCTCTTGCACAGTTCTCCTACAATAACAACTTTCATTCCAGTATTGGTGTCCCACCATATGAGCTGTTGTATGGACGGAGATGTCGCACCCCAGTCTATTGGGGTGAGATCAGTCATAGGGTCATAGGATGGATAAAGGTAGTTCTGCAGACTACTGAGAGGATCCAGCAGATCAGACAGTGACTGCAGACCGCTTAGTGTCGGCAGAAGAGTTACGCTGACAGACTTTGATCTGAGCTGGATTTCCAGGTGGTTGACAGGGTACTCCTTAAGGTCTCATCTTGGAAGGGTTTGATCCACTTCAGGAAGAGGGGGAAATTGGTTCCCTAATGTATCGGACAATTCAAGATCGCTGCTAAAGTTGGCAAGGTGGTGTAAAGATTAGATATCCCTGAGGAGCTTAGTCAGATCCAAAACACTTTCCATGTTTCAAAGTTGCAGAAGTGCATTCTGGATGAGGATGCAATAGTGTCATTAGATGATATTCAGGTCGATGAGTGCCTGAATTACATGGAGAGGCCGGTGGTTATTCTTGTAAGGAAGGCAAAAGTTCTACGGAACAAGGAAATACCTTTGGTTAAGGTACAGTGGGAGCACAGGAGGTGATCCGAGCAAACGTGGGAGTCGGAGGCATAGATGCAGGAGCACTATCCAAGATTGTTCACTACAGCAGACTTCGAGGACGAAGTCTAGTTCAAGTGCGTGAGAATTGTAACACCCCGACTCCCATTTTAAAGCATTATATACATATTTATGGACCTACTCGACGAGTTAGTTGCTCCCAACTCGTCGTGTAGAGGTAGGTTAGCCAGCGTCGATTACGGGATCTACTTGACGAGTCGGAGGACCCGAACTTGACGAGTAGGAGTTGGGAGATGAAATCCTAATTTTTAGGGATTTCATCCTATTTAAATGACCTTAAGTCCCTTCCTCTAGTCCTTTACCACCCTTTGATGGCTATAGAAACCCTAATCGCTATTAACCTTATCATTGAATGATTGTGAGGTTTAAAGACTGATTTTAGTGCTTTGTGTGAAGAAGGTGTGAAGTATAAGATGCTTGGAGTGAAAAGGAGCTTGTGGATCTTCCTCTTCTTCATCTTGGCATCATATTGAATGTAACAAGTCGTTACATTGGCTTATATTTAGCTAAATCTCTTCATAGTTAGGTTTAGGGCTATCTTTAGCACATTTGGGAGTCATTTTGAGTATTGGGGCAAGATCTGAATTTGTAACTTCAAATCTGGACTCCCTTTGGTCCTTATAGCTATAAAGTTATCAGATTTGGCAAGCTTGGGCCTTTCCCTTTGAGCTAACATTTTCCTTAGTCTAGTTTTGGCATTTAGGACCATGCATGTACGTAAAGTTTGTAACTTTACGTGGAAACCGTGTCCTAGGAGGTTGGATTTGCAATATAGAGCTTTGGGTGGCTTAAAAACATCTGTATAAGTAATGGAATCCATAAACTCGACGAGTCGCTTAGCTGACTCGGGGAGTTGGATGAAGTTTTCCCGTATATGATTCTGCATGAACTCGGTGAGTCAGTAAGAGGACTTGACGAGTCAGTTAGGGTTTTCCAGACTTCTAGACACGCATGGACTAGACGAGTTGGTTGGAAACTCAACGAGTCGGTTAGGGTTTTATGACTTTCTGAGTTCTCAAGGAACTCAACATTTTGCTACCGACACTCGAAACAGTGGGTCAACCTGGACTGTTGACTTTCACCATTGATTTTGACTATGAACAAGGCTTGACTAGTTTGACTTCTAGGGGGGTATTTTGGAAATTTGGGAATATATGGAAGTTGATAAGCACGGAAGTACCCACTAATTTTAATATTTGTAACCTAACAATCTTAGACTAACTATGCACTTATAGGCAGTGTACCTGGTCAGATTATAATATAACTTAGGTAAGTCGGGTGTCGATCACAGGGAACGGTGGTGAATTAATTTAAAATATTTGATTATGGGTTACAGGACACACGGAAGGAATAAAAAAATGGTTATTGAATCTCAAACGAATTACTTAAATAGCAAATCTCGATAAACTAACAGGGAAGTAAATCTCTTCAGGTACTTTGGTTTAAATACATTACACCTTAAAAGCATAGACAATTTCATACACAAATTCATTTATTCATGTTCGCCGATTCCTAAAATGATTAAATTCGCGTTCACTATAACTAATCCTTTAGCAAACAAGTCAATTCAAACAGTGATCAGTTGATTAAACTAGCATATTTCCTAGTGTTCAGTTCGTATCAAGCAAGACTTGTAATGATAGTTAATCAAATTGGTCGTTCAATTAACCTCTTATTGATGGTCATCAAACAAGGCTCACACGTTAACTTATTTATTCCCAAGTTAATCCTATTTTCGCATTCGCTATATCTAGACTTATAATCTTGATGGTCATCAAAGTCATAAGATACAAGAAATCAAGTAGATGTTCATACAACTTAGTTTACTTGACAATTAATAGAAAATAATTATCATTAACACATAAGGATCTTTTAACAAGCTTGGCAAGATAAATTAAACATAAACAAACAATTCAATATAGCAATTAGTCCAATAATCAAGGTTTCATTCAATCATAAACAAAAGTAAAAGGTTTTAACACCTAAATCAGAAACCAAACACATAATAGTATCACAATGGATTGCTAAACATGGTCACATTAAAAC